TAACTCTCGTCTCGCTCTGTGCGGTCTCTTTTTCGTCTGTACGTCGAATTCATCCTTTCGTCGAGGATATAAAGTCTACCTCCGCGTCGTGTCGCAGCGAAACTTACGCGGGCGACTTTGAAAGGTAGACAAAAGGGTAAAAGGGACGGCGCAGGTTACAATAAAGTAATTAACTGGCGCTGATACAACATGGGGGGAGGGGGGGGGAGGTGGGCCGTCAGATATCCGCGATGTTTATGACGCGTTTCAAAGTCAGCGTTTGTGCTTCCTCCATGTTAAATTAAACTCACTCGTTATTTATATATACTCATCAGTGCCTGCATGTACCGGCCGTGCGCGATAACGTTCTGCTTAAAGCTACTCGCAGTTCCGAGAGACACATATTTTCCATAGTGCTCTGTTTTATTGTTGCACAGTTTTGCGTGTGTACAGGTGTGTGTGTGTGGGTGGGTGTGCCGAAACTGCCGAAACGACCTCGGGGGTTTGCGAGACCTACCGAGGCGTATTTCGCCACGCAAATGATCTCTCTGACCCGCGGATGTAGCTCTCTCCCTTTGTACCCGAGACGAGAACACCGTGACACCGAAGTAATTCCGAAGTTGCCAAGGATCGAAAATACGAAGCTTCGTGCGGATTAATTTCGGGAGCTCGTGTGTGTACGAAGGATCGATCCCTCTCGACGAACTTTCGGGACCGAATCGCGCTCGTTCCGATCGGAAGCCCACGAGCTGAAATCGCAATGATCTCTCGGTCAAACAGAGAAGTCGATTGAAGTACGCATGAAAATCGACGGCCGAACAATACCTCCCTACGAAGCAGTTTAATTTAACTTGCGATTTGCGCGGATTGCACGCTTTCCTATTCGCCGGCATCACGGCGCATGGTCGTACCGTCGGCCGATGCGATTCCGCTCGCCGGGATGACTGTAGTCCCGCCCCGCCCCTTAAAAGACTGTACGATGCGTATTAAGACGCGGCTTACTTCCGGCTGAAACTCCGCCGGGGACTCGTACGCGCGCTTTGAAGGACGTTTGATGAAGCGCAAAGTTACATCCGCGCGGCTAGTCTCGCAGAGTGGATCGAGAGGTTACGACAACACGACGGCCCTTTGCCGATAGTCAGGTAGCAAGGAAACGCACGCGCGCTCGTGGCCGCGGATGCGAGAGAGAGAGAGAGAGAGAGAGAGAGAGAGGAGGGGGAGAGAGGGGAAGAGAGACGCGAAATGGGAGAGAGAGAATGGGACGGAGAGGGATAGACGAACGAGGGAGGAGAGAGGAAAAGGGAAGAAAGGAAGAGAGAGAGAGAGAGAGAGAGAGAGAGAGGGACTTTTAACCATTCCACGATGAACTAACTAAATTTGCATAACTGAAACAAGGTATCGACGACCGCGGTTCGCGGATACGATTGTACGTAACGTTCCAACTTCGGCCTTCGTTCCGCCGGCAAGTTTTTTGCTATACGAGTGCGAAAACCGGTTGATGCGAGACAATTATGCGTTAACGCGGTAATTTTATTCCGGACGATGTTACGAGCAGCTTTACGTCGGACTTGGCTCGGCAGGACAGTAGCACAGTGGTTTATTGTAAAAAGTATCCGCTGTCTCTCTCTCTCTCTCTCTCTCTCTCTCTCTCTCTCTCTGCGGTGCTCTCGTGCGGTGAAGTTCGCGGTAAAATAGAGCGCGAATTATCCGGTTGCCGCGCGCTGAAATAAAGTCAATTTCACGGGGGCGAATCGGTACGACAGAGGAGAGATTAATAACACGACAGTACTGACGCGACGGCATTAGGGGAAATGTGGCTATTTTTAACGCGCGATAGTATATTCCGCCCTTCGCTAAAAATTAGCGCTAAAAGGGGGAAATATTGCGCTATTCAGCCGCCGTGTTAGCGCCGTGACCACGAAAGTATGTGCTGATATATGCGATTTCATGAATATGGAAATTACGCACAGTGACATATTTTTATAAATAGATCCCCGCCAATGCGATGTTCTTTCATCTTCAACTCCACATTCATTTTCAGACCGTCGGCCAAAAGTCCGACCTCGATATTCTCGACGTACCGTAACGTAACGCAGTCGAAATTTAGATTTGCATTCTGATACCGACGTTTGAGAAATAATCCATTAATCATTTGCGTTCATCCGTAAGAAACAGCTCGATCGAAAATAACGCTGTGTAAACAAAAATTTCCGACTATATGCGACATCTCGGGGTCGGGGGGGGGGGGGTTGGAGATGGATAGACAGCTAGAGGTGGAAAGAGACTTCGCGTTACGACACGAAATCGCCCGTCATAATGGTGCGATCGCGTTAAAAATTATCCCCTGCCGCGCATTCAGCGGTGGTGACTTTCATCAAGTGAAATTGTGCCTGACGATCTCGCCGAGGGTGGAAGTCCGTTGAGGCATAAAGTCGCATCCCTCCTTTGCTGGTTAGATCGAAAAGGTGCGATACGAGAGCTCTGTGTGCGGAGAACCTTCCGCGGAGAATCGACCGTAAAACACAGACGCGCTGTAATTTACCGTAAGAATGGCCCGGTAGCGAAAGAATCGCGCGGATTCGAATGAAAACAAGATAATTTCGAGAAGTGCTTCGGACACAAGAGATACTTTCGAAGAAAGTTTGATCGGCTCGACGATTTGCGCCGCGAGAGACAATCGATTCGAGATTGTCGAAGAGAAAGGAGGTTTTCGCTGGAAAATAATATGACGGAACCGAGACACCCTTCTGTGCACCCCTGAATTAATCGGGCCGGTAAAGGACGCCACGGGGTAGTGCATACTGCGAATCCAACCTGCGAAGCGACCATAAAACACGTCCGTACGCGGACGGATGGCTGACAACGATTCCGCAAATTTCGGAATGAAAGCGCTCTCGCCCGCGACGTTATGTCAAGATGCGAGATATTACGCGGCGGGGCGCACGCGCGTACGGAGCGATCGAAATTACGTCGTAAATCGTGGTCCTCGAAGTTCGATGGCGCGAGAAAGTGCTTCCGCGAGCGTTTCGCCGCTCGGCGAGATTGACGAGACGACGACGACGACAAAGAACCGACGAAGATGTTCTTCTGCGAGTAGATCGATGAAGAGGCGGAGAAAGAGGGTGAAGGGTGGGGGGGGGAGGGAGGGAGAGAAGGAACTAGAGAGTGAGAGAGAGAGAGAGAGAGAGAGAGAGAAGCGCATCGGAAAAAAGGTTTCTACATAATTCCTCAATTGTATTCTCCTTTTGCAACAATGTACGATGTCGACTGGTAGCATCGGTAAATCTCTCGGAATCTGACGTTAAAGATTGATTCGTCAATTACCGCCGTCTTTCATCGCGGTGCTTCGTAACACTGTCGCTTGGTCGTATTCATATTTCGATCCGTGCAATTTATACCAAGCGTGAGAACAAATGTTTACGTCAAAGAGCGAATGTTTCAAACGAGAAATGTGTAAAACGCAGACACGCTGTAATTTATCGTAAAAATGGCCTCCGCAGCCGTAGAGGATCGTAGTGGACTCGATTCGGAACAAGATAATTTCGAGAAATGCCTCGGACAGAAAAAAGATAGTTTCGAAAAAAATTCGACCGGATCGAACGAACGAACGAACGAACGAACGGCCGACTCGCCTATTTGTGCCGCGAGACAATCGATTCTAAATTTGTCGAGGAGAAGGGAGGTTCTCGCGTTAGGAGATAATGTGATATCACACACACATATATATATGTGTGCGTACACTTTCACATGCGCGGGATAAAAATTTCTTAATATTAAAAGGATACACTCGCTTACTTCGCGAGGCGAGGCGCGGCGCGAAGCGAGATTTCGCGAAGGAACGTGTACGCATCTCGCAGCGTTTGGCATACCAAATTATCCCGAAGATCCCGTTCGCGTAAATCCTCGGCAGAATCCCACGCGTTAGCCGCGAGTTACGGCGCATTAAGAGTCGTTACGTAAGACGGATCGAAATATAGCCCGCTCCGAAATTACGTCTGGGACTCGACGCTCTCGCCCGTTGAGAGCTCGGCGAGACGCGAAGTTACATCTGCCCGAGCACTCGCGATCGTCGGATAGAAAGCTTTGATCCCGAATAAAGTGCCGGCGGGAGGATAGAGGAAGTCGCGGATGGAGAAAGGACACGCGCTTCTTCCTCGTCCCTGGGACTCGTGGGAGTCGATACGAGTCGTCTCGACGCCGACGGCGAGCGTCGGAGAGTCGACTGGCTTTCGCTCTCTTTCCCTCTTCTTCCTCTCTTCTCTTCTCTTCTCTTCTCTTCTCCTCGTCTCTCCGCCCTGGCCGAGACTCTCCGCCAGTTTGAGACCGCCAGCACGTTATTATTCGCCGAGGTGTGTTCGAATGACGGAGCGGTCAGACGATTTGACTCGCGGTAATCCTTGGAAACCGCGCGAAGTCGCCGCGCGTTGAATCAATAGTGCGAGACGCGGAAACAACGTGGCGATGCCTTTGGCGCGTCTCACGGGGTGAGACTCCGCGCGTCGGAATTCAGCGGCCGGAAGCAATTCCCGAGGATATACGGCGCCGCTCGCGCGACGTGCTGTCGTGCGGTTTAAAAATACACGTCGGCAGAACGAGCGGTGTTCGAGGGTGGAACCCGCGCGCGAGGGTGGCTCGTTGGCGACGGGGGAGTCTCGCGCGCTATCCTCGAATATACGGGCTCTTAGACTCTCACGACCTCGCAAACGAGAAGCGTGTCATGGTTGACTTTCGCGTCGATTCGACCCCAACTCCAACTCCCGCGGTCCACGGTGCCCGATCGCACTGGGATCGGAGGGATGATGCATGCTCGTTAACAAAGTTCGCGGACGTGGCGAGCGGGGGATGCGAGATAAAGCGGAGTAAAACCCGCCGGCGCAGGCGGGGTGTTCAATTCTGCCGTATAATGGAATCTTTGATTCAAGCTTGCTTGACGAGAGTGTCGGGGATGTTTAACCGCAGCGACCGAGACCGTGGCTAATGAAAGCGACGTTTGATCATCGACCACGAAGTAATCGACTTACCGTGACTGACTCTGCCTCCGCCGGCTTCTCCTTCCACGACGGTTCCCCCGTGTCAGGCAAGCCCTCCTCCTCCTCCTCCTCCTCCTCCTCCTCCTCCTTCCCTGTTCTCGATCTCGTGTTAATTAACGAAACACTCGCGACAGAGAGCCGCGCACGGTGGCCACTTCCCGAGATCATTCCGGTATATTCCCGTTCATATCCCGGCACCCCGGCACCCCGGCGAGCGACGGCTCTTCTCGCCGCGACGCGTGTGTCTGTGTGTGTGTGTGTGTGTGAAATTTCGCGCACCTCCTCGCGCTCTCGAGCCGGACGGAAAGTCGTGTCGAGTTGCTTCTCGCCCGGTTCTTATCGTTCGTTCCCAAGACGGACCTAGCGATGACGCAGCTAGCGACAATTTTCAAGGGGAGACGTCTCGGACGAAGCCGCCCCGAGGGCCGAGTCCTCCGCGCGAAAGAGAGAGAGAGAGAGAGAGAGAGAGAAAGAGAGAAAGCGAGTTTTACACGTGTGTGTGGGCGCGCGCGCGCCCCTTTCGGTCGTCCAGCGGTCGTCGAGATCAAATCGCTCGTCGCTCTCACCAGCCTCCTCCGTTCTTTCGCTCCCTCTCTTTTCGCAAAGTTTCCCATCGAACGCGTCGTCCCTGTCGGCCCATTCGGCACGAATGCGCCTCTCCGAGGCGCGAGAACGCGAGGAGAGCGGCGGGCGCGACGCCCTCCGACTGCTTCGCGGACTGACTTTCTGTTTCTCGCGCGACTCGACTCGCGGCCGAACTCGCGCACCGATCTCCGCTCGCGCGAACGCAGCTCCAGTCGCGAGAAGAGTCCGAGGGTCGACTGCCACTTCACCCCCCTGGCGATGCACGGGGGTCGAAGGCCCGCGTTAGACTGCAGGGTGTCACCCTCGCTCGTACCTCGAACCTCCGCGATTTCCACCCTACCGTCGTCATTCCGCGAGTTGTACGCATGCCCCAGGAAATCCACCCTCGCTACGTATCTCGGCATTGCCTCGTATATATGTGCCACCACTTGAAAATCGTGGAAGCGCGCGCGTCTGGTCGGTGCGAGCGAGCGAGCGAGCGAGCGTGTGTGCGTGCGTGCGTGCGTGCGTGCGTGCGTGCGCGCGTGCGTGCGCGCGTGCGTGCGCGCGTGCGCGCGCACAGCCGCGAACGGGAGTGTGCTGGCGAATCCGCGACATATCGGCGACGGATTTGGCGTTTATACACGCGCGGACACGCACCGAGGATAAACACGCGTGTGCGCGATAAATCGCCGCTCGAGGAGGAGACGCGCGCTGCGCCGAGGCGCGGCGAGGAGAATAAGAATTGAGTGGACCAAGCGGGGGGGGGGGGAGGGGGGTTCATCGCGCACTCGATTGCGCCCCCGCAATGCTCTCGCGGTCGGACGACTCTCCGGCTGGGAGAGAGCGAAGTGTTTTGCGTCCACCCCCGCCTGCGTTGCCGCGACGGACATCGAGTTGCAATTTCGTTGCGCGCACCCCGACGATGCAGCCACCCCCGCATGTGACGAGCGGACCACCAGTCGAGTCGTGTCGTGTCGTTGCGCGCGAGCGAGCACGCGTCGTCGTTATTTACGAGCGGTCCACTCATAAATCTGCTTACCGTCTTTGACGAGGTAACTCGTCGACGGTGTCTCGCGTGGAAACTTCACACTCGCCTCTTCACCCCCCCCTCCCTTCCCGGCCCCGTTTCTTCCCCCGTCGCGTCGCTCGCTCTCGCACGTAGCCGGAACAGAGACTCTAATTTATCGGGCAAACTTGCGAGCGCTAAGTTCGCGCGTTCTAAACGCTAAGCTTATTTACTTAATGATTAAGTCGAGTTGACTCGACGCGCGCGCGTTACTAACCGGAGCCGATGCGGCCTGCGACGACGACCTTTGCATACTCTTCTGGTTATCGCGATCATTAATATTACTCATTCGCGGACTGGATTAATATCGCGGCGCTCCTCCTCCTTCTGCGAGCTGACGTGTTTCGTCGGGCCGATAAGTTTGCAATTGTTGCGATCGTTGCTAGATCGCGCGCTCGCAGTGTTTCGATCGCGGTCGCCGGGGAGACGTCGGGAAGGAGCGAGACCTTTTGTCCCTATCGGGATGTTTCGTGTTCACGCGCGGCCGCTCGCGCGCGCATAAGTTTCCGCCCGCGTGTGAATTCCGCATCTCACTTTAATTCGCTCTCGTAAGCTCGGCGGCCTCGCCGCCGAGCCGGAACAACGCGCGGTCTGACATTTCGCTTCAAAAGTCGAATATATTACGGCGCGATAGTAATTATAATATGATTATTATTAGAATAACAACGCGGTCGTCTCGTCGGAAAACTTTACGTGGGTTACTCGCGCCGCGTTGCGGCCCGCTTCTCGGGTCGCTCACTTTGGGGCATCGGCTTTCCGCCCGTTTGATTTTCATTTCCATCGTCATTTCCACAGAAATAAAACCGGTGATTCACAAAGCGCAAAAAAATGAGCAAGGAAGCGTAATTCCGCCCTCGCAAGCTGGCACGCTTCAGCGTGCGAAAACGGAATTAATAAAGCGCAGCCGGCGCAACAAATTTCGATGAATCCGCGGCCGGCGATGTGATAATTTTCGAGGTCCCGCTCGAATCGAGCCGCCACTCGCTCGATCGGCTGCGATAACGCGATCCACGTGTAATTTGACTGACGCGCCGTATTACATCCACTCGCGTTACGCTCGTTCATTTAGTTCGCGATATCGCGATTTAGACGCGCGCGCGCGAGAGACCCTCGAGAAGAAACGGCTGTATCTCCGGCCTTGCCCACGGACCGGAAGTAATCTTCGCTTCTTAACGGAGCGTCACCGAGCGTCGCGAGCGAAGCGAACTCGCTTTAATAAACCTCTACGAAGTGCAGCGCTCTCTCCCTCTTGTTCTCGTCCTGTCCTTTCTGCACAAATTGCGCAACCTTGAATGAGAGGGCGAGAAAAGAGAAAGAGGGGGCGGGAGAGAGAACGAGAGCGAGCGAGACAGAGTGAGAGAGAGAGAGAGAGAGAGAGAGAGAGGGAGAGGGAGCGGGGGAGGGGTCGAAGGGACAGGGGAGGAAGCTTAACATAATTGTCCGCGATTCGACTCGTCACCGTCGTCGGCGCGATGAAAAGTCCTTGTCTCTGAGTAAAAGAAATCAGCTATCAGGCCCCTCGCCCGCCCTCCGCTCGCTATGCGTCCACCTACGTGAGCAAGCAGCTTTTTTTTCGAAAAGGATCTCGTTTTCGTTGGCTTGTAATAGTTAGCCTGATGGTGAAAGTTTCGCGGCAACTCGATGGAGCGAGCGAGGTTTTCAACTGCATTAACTACGGGCTTGATAATAAAACTTTTCGGGACGTTTGACGGATGAAGCCGAGCAAACGATCTGGCTTTCTGCATTTTCGATTGCCCCGCCGCCGGTAATTGAAGAGCGCGGTAGCGACCGCGCGGAGAACTTGGCGCGCAGAGAGAGAGAGAGAGAGAGAGAGAGAGAGAGCGCGTTTTACGCTCGACCTTCCCCGCGGCTTTCGGCAGCGTTTCTCGCAGCTGCTCGCGCACACGTCAAGCTGACGGTGTGTGACGTGAGCATTGTATCGTTGAAAATTAACGGAAAAACGGAGAAATGTGAGCTGAACGTGTGCGCATAAAAATCACATTGCGATTTGTCGTCGGCAAAGCCAGAGTAACGTTCCGAAAAAAATATAGAATTATAGCGATATCGTATAAATATACACTGTGTGTTCTAATAAGAATAAAATTGCAGTGATACAAATATATATTACAGATATGTATTACTATATGTATTACTCGCACGCTTACGCGAGTTATACGTTCGCGTACAAATGACGCAACGTATTATTGTTACGGTGGGAAAAGTTGATGGGGGATGGGGAGAATATCGAAAATCGGAGCGTAAATACACTGCGCGCGAGAAAAAAGTCCCCCGGAGAGCCTCAGTGACTTTAGATGCGAAATTTTTTTCCTATTTCCGACAGACATCGGTGAGCGCGCGCACGCGCGCGTGTTTTGCATATAAATATTTTTGATTAAAATGTGACTCGGCTTTATATTTCTCCTTCGGTTCTTCATCTTTTCCGCAATCTTTGTAAAACGGAGCGTAGCGTTTGTCGCATAAATATTATTCTCCATATATTAGAATTCCCGCAATTTTCAACACACATATTTGCGAATATATATTTGAATTAGCTCGATTGCCGTTGCAAATACGTATCTCAAACAATATCTCAAATAGTTTCGATTGAAACATTTTTCGATTTCGCGTGCAATCACGAGGCTTGTACACACACACACACACACACACACATATATATATACACACACATATACATGTGTGGGATACGTTGCAGAGAGAAAGAGAGACGGAGATTTTAAACAGGGAATTACTTGCCGAAATCGAATTTTGCGCGTAAGCTACGCCCTCGCAGACTCGTCGCGCGATTTTCGCGCAATCGCGACGAGGACGAATGCAAATTCGCATACAACGTTATTCCATCGCATTCCACAACTGGAAAAGCCGACACGTAGCGCGGCTTCAGGTTCAGGTTTGGAAAATAGGTTGCCCTCGGATAAGGGTTAAGGATGGCGCGACGATAAATATGTGACCGCGGTAGAGCGAAATATACGACGAGCGTAAAAACATCAACGGGTGCGGTGGAGGTCGTGGACGGATACGGCGGGGAAGGAAGATGAATTATTTCCGGCTACGTTTCGCTCGTAATTTTGTCCGGAATTAATGATTGTGCGTGTGTGTGTGTCCCTTTTTAGCTTCTTTGAGTCGCAATTAAATTGCGAGGGTAAAATCAAGTCTAAGCTGAAGACCCGCGAATATTTTCTCGCCGACGCGACAACACGTGAATGCCTGTGCAATCCGCGCGTGAACGACTATGCGAAAAGTAAACTTTCTCTCTCTCTCTCTCTCTCTCTCTCTCTCTCTCTCTCTCTCCCTCCCCCTCTCTCCTTCTCTTTTTCCCTCACTCTCGAAACGTTCCCGGGCAAGTCTAATACGGATAAAAGGCTTTTTCGACATATCCAACGCGTTGTTATATGTC